TGGTTTGGTGCGGAAATTCCAGTTTAAGGTTTCATCTTACCCTGTTCTGGCCGGTTCTGTTTGGCCATGATGGAGGCCAAATAAGGCTTAGGTTAAAACATGAAAGTTGTAGAAAATGGTGTTAACTAGTTTCCTAAAAAATTTCAGCTCGATCCAAGTACTGTAGCATGTAAAATGATTGAAATACCCTTGACTGCCCATGAGCCCTGTTTCGCAAACAGATTTTTGTTTTCGTGGAGATTTCCATTTTTGATCATGTAAATGCATGATTTGGCTTTGGAGGTCTTCATAAGAAATGTAGGTATATGTCTTGGCTTCGAAACGCCATAAGATTCGTTTTCATCCAATAAGTATAGCTTCGGTTGTGGTTGTTATGCCGAAAGGTGTTTTATCACCTATGATTTGTATGTGAAACTGTATTTGATTTGGGATGAGATTTGCTCTTTGATTGTAGGATGGAAAGTGAAGAAATTAAGGGGAAATGCTGTCTATTTATTTTCTTGAAATTTGAATAAGTAAAAGTGAGATTTGAATGTGATTTGGGGATGCGTTGGACTTACTTTTCTTAGACTCACTTAGGTCCACTTTAATGGTGTTACTTGAACTAGATTCCATTTGAACTTGTACCTTTTCGCATGGTGAATGTGACAACCGTTTTAAGCATGATACTTAGTTACAAATGTCAAGTTTTGAACTTCAAATGTTTACTCATTTTCTTTCCACAACAAAGAAAAATTGCCAAGGGTTTCTCGGCTGCAAACCCTAATTTTATCAAGCGAGGTTTTAGGTGTGCATTTAGGGTTTGTTTAGCTTCCTTTTCACATGATTTTCATCAAGATACTTGTTATATAATATATACTTGAATATATATTGATTTTGAGCCACATAAATGATTCAGAAAAATATTTCTTTAGCCTAGCTAGCCGGATTCTGATTTGTCTTCGGTCCAAGCATTTTTCATTGGAAATTTTATAACCCTTTCAGTTTCGTTTTACGTTTGGTTTGTGAAACCCTTAGTTATTTCCATCTTCCGAACCAAATGCCTCTTTTCACTTTAAAGTCATCTTTATACATTTTACTCATAATTAGTTGGGTTTCTTCGGTTACACTTAATTGTTTTGCTAGATGAACTGTAATATTCTCTTTCGTTTAATCTTAGGTTTCATCGGTGACTGAGGGTAATATCCGGAGGGATATTTTGGACGTTATTTTACATAAATAGGTGAGTGTTTCTTATTTGTTATGTTTTCTTGATTATATGGCTTGTATGAACGATTGATAACATGTTAAATGCGTTCAATGTTTGCCAAAACGAGTTTTCTAGGCGAGTGTGTACTTTATCGCATTTGACCTAAACGAATGTAAAATTTTCAATGATCTTATGATTGGAACGTTACTTGTGCATGAATGCAAGCCTTTTGGCTGAACTGGGCCCTGCCCTTCGTTATCGATCGACTCGAGTCAGAAGCAGACTCGGTCGAGCGATATGGTGACCCTGGGTGAATGTTTGGTATACTCGAGTATTACCTTGTAGTTTGGTGGAGCCTGGCCAACCTCCAGGAGGCGGCGAATGAAATGAACGAACGAATGTCACTGCAAATGAGGGGTTTTACTTACAAAAATGCATTTTCAAATGATTGGAGGAATAAGGGAATGAAAGGAGAATGAATAAATGAATGAATGAATGAATGGCTCCCTGTAAGCATGTATCCTTTTAATGAATGTGTTATTATCGCTTTCCATTGTAAATGCTTCTTGACATAGTGTTTAACTTATTGTTTGATTATGTGTTCGGAACCTCACTGAACTTTTAACTCATCCCTTTAGTTTTGTTTTCCTTAACAGGGGAAGGCGAGCAAGGACGAGAGCTCAGTATAGACTAGCCAGTCTAGTTCATTTGATTCTTTTGTAATGGTTCTCGCCCTAGCGCTTGGCACGGGTTGGATGTATGAAAAATTGAGAACCTTTGTATATTCGAAGTTTGTATTCCCTTTTGGGATAGCAATGTACATAAGTTTCGCTTTAAGTTTTAGATTGTTGTTATTCTTATTCCTATGGTTTTATTCCGGTTTTTGTTTGAGGTATGACTGAGTCCTGGCGAGAGTTGGGCAGGCGGTCCGCCAAACCCTTTGGTTCGCCTAATGGTGAGGTGGGGCTGCCACATAAATCACTTGGAGCTTTTCTGTATATTAGGTATAGCATAGGGGGTTATTTTGTTTTTAACCCTAAATAACAAAAGCAATGCTGGCATCCTGAGGTGGTATGTCCATTGATGCTCTCTATACCTGGGGATCTGCTATCTTCTACTGACTCTCCAATGTAGCGGTCAACCAAACACAATAGTAGAATTTTGGTGTAAAACTCTCAGAGTACTTAGATCTCCTCTACAAGCTCTCTCTCTCTCTCTCTCTCTCATCTAAGTATCAAATTTTTCTTGTTCAAGATCCTTCACAGACTCACTCTCACTCATCTATTTTTTAATTGAGTGAGGAAGTGTGTTAGATAAACAAAAATTTGGAGGAAATGCAACTAAGCTAAGAGTTTGAAAAACTCATAGAAGGATACTTTAAAAAAACTAAAAGCAATGCTGACAACTTGTGGTTATCTGTCTGCTAATGCTCCCTTTGTAGCAAGGGATGCACTATCTTCTAGAGACACCTAAGTGTAGTGGTTGATGAAGCACAATAAGAGAGTTTTTATGTAAAACTCTTGGAATACTTGGAGCTCCTCTAGGAGTGCACCCTCTTTCATCGGAGCATCAAACTCCTATTATACAAGATCCTCCACGAACTTGCTCTCACTCGTCTATTTTTTTTCAATTGAGTAAGAAAATGTGTTAGATAAACAAATTTGAGTGAAATGCAACTAAGTTTCCAGTATGATAAACCCATAGAAAGATACTTAAAAAAAAATTAAAAGCAATGCCGGCAATCTGTGGTGGCATGTCCGCAGATTCTCCTTCTGTATCAAGGGATGTGCTATCTTCTAGTAATACCTCAATCTTGAGGTAGATGAAGCAAAATAAGAGAATATCGATGAAAAACTCCCGGATTACTTGGACCTCCTTTGTGAGCTCCCCGTCTCTCATTTGAGGATCAAACTCCTCTTTACAAAATCCTACATGATAATTGAGTAGGGAAATATGTTAGATAAATAAAAATTTGTAGGAAATGTAACTAAATTGACATTTTGAAAAATCCGCAAAAAGATACTTTAAAAAAACTAAAGAAAGATCCCGCATTAGTATAGTACATAACAATAAAAACTGATATACGACCTCAAATTCATCCAAGGATTTTTATATAAATTGACATAGGTGTTCACCTACGACCTTATCCATGCCTTAAATATTGAGTTACAAAAGATAATTTAATTAAAAAAAAAAGATATGAAGTTGTGATTTTCTTAATTTTATGACAGAATTTTTTCATAATTTATTTAATTAATAACTTATTTGATTTAATGATGCTTGTTGGTTGAATGTTTTAGTTTCTACTATCTATTTTATTGGGGTTATAAAAGGGTCCATAGCACAAGTTTTAAAATGTTTGCTTTTCTAAGTTTTTCACAAAGATTGATAGTAAATTAGATTATGTTAAATTCTAAAATAGTAAATTACTTGTCTTATTAAAATAGAAAGTTGATATTTATATAATCTTTTAAAATTAACATACGTGCAATACATGTGCAAATAATCAACTTTACAAAAGATTGGAAATTGTAACTTTAAAATAAAAAATTTATTTTTATGATCAGGTACCATATATCAGTATTACATATAAAATCCAATGCATAGTCTAATTTGATTCGATAATAGGAGAGTTAATCCTATAGAATAGGCCATATCTTGTATCAGAACTAGATTTACTAATGTAACTTAATTAAATTGGGTTAGCTTTTATTCTCAAACCTTCAGTCGTATGCCAACAAATTTTCTTTTGCTTAGGCGATTCGGTTTTATCCTCTTAACATAACTATGAGAACAATGTCACATTGACAAATGGAAGAAGAAAGGAAAGAAATATAACGTTAAAAAATAAATAAATAGAAGCAATGCTGGCAACCTGAGTTGGTGTGTCTATTGATGCTCCCTCTATACCAAAGGATCAGCTAACTTCTACTGATGGTTCAGTGTAGCGGTCAATCAAACACAATAGTAGAATTTGGTTGTAAAACTCTCAGAGTACTTGGAGCTCCTCTGCAAGCTCTCTCTCTCTCTTCTGAGTATCAAACTCTTCTTGTTCAGGATCCTTCACAAACTCACTCTCGCTCATCTATTTTTTAGATTGAGTAGGGAAATGTGTTAGATAAATAAAAATTTGGAGGAAATGCAACTAAACTAACAATTTGAAAAACCCGTGGAAAGATACTTTAAAAAAACTAAAAGCAATGTTGACAACCTGTGGTTGTCTCTCTGCTAATGCTCCCTCTATACCAAGGGATACACTTGTTAAACTAACTATGTACATATGAATGTATTATGCAGCGGAAATCTAAATACACTTACCTCTAACTATTGTTGTCAAGTACAAGTTGATCTTTTCTTGTGTCTTTGACTCCTTCTTATCTATTTTAACAAGAAAAAAATGTAGAAGAAGGAGAATGTAGAATAACGATCTTCTACTATATGTCTAACTCAAAAGTGTACAATTGATGAAATGCCACCGACTATTTATAGGCTAGGCTAGGAAACCTTACTAACAAATACAAAAATCCCTAGGGTTTCCCTCCATCCAGGAAATCTTACCAAAATTCATAACTGAAAATCACATTTTCTAACTAATTGATTGATTTGATTGATTAGATTGATTAGTTGATTGAATAAAATATCAATCAATCATTAACAGATGAGAGATACTAATTAATTATTGACAAAATGTCAATCAATTAATCAGAATATCAATCACCAATCATTATCTAATGAGAGATGCGAATTAATTATTGACAAAATTTCAATCAATTAATTATGATATCAATCACTTTAAAATCAATCATGTGGGTCATAATTGTCTCAAAAGAGGTAAGTCCTGCATTCTCCCACTTGACTCACATGGAATAGTCAGATAACTTATGAGTGACAAACTACTTAAAAATGGTCATAAACCTTGTTTGTCACTCATCAAATTCAGTAGTTATGCAACAGTTGCTTAATTAGAAAATAATAATACATGAATCATGGCGGTTATGCTCTCATGGCAAACACTTCCTTCCATGTATTATAATGTATTATACTTCCCAATCAAGTGCTTTAAAACTTTATGAATAACTTCATATAAGTTATTCAGGGTCTAACTTTATGAATTATATGATCCTTACTTTATATATGAACAACAATGTGCACAAAATCATGTAAATATAAATATCTCAAGTGTCTAGACAATAACAATAGTTTGAGAATAATAGCAAAATACTAAATGAACTACTGAGTTCCATGTGAGTTATTTGATCATTAATAGCTCAACTGGCAACCTTTAGCTGTTTGATCAACAATAATAACTCCTTATTGTACACTCAATAATAACCTTTTGCTTTCAAATAACTATTGAATATCTTATGTCGACTTGCCTATTTTGACTCCCACTCTTTCATGTATACATAATGAAAGGGTATAGTCAAATCAAATATCTATAATGGCCACAATACAATATTGGCAAACTTTATGCCAAATAGTTGATGCCTGTGGTATAACTTCATAGCATCCTTGGTGAACATTATGCAATTGTTCACTATTATTATTTAAAAGTAATCAAAGAACTCTTGCATGAAGGTCTTAAGATAGATTAACTATCTTTTACATTCTATTTTGTGAATATCACTGATAGAAGGGTTTCACAAATATCATGATTGAGAAAAACTCTCATAGTATTACTCCCACTAACCTTAATGTACATTAATTTACTAGAAAAAATTCTTCTAAGATCAAATGAAGAACAAATTAATATACTATTGGGAAGAAACAATTTAAATTGTATTCTCTACAAATATATTATGGTGATACATGTGTATGCCTAATTATCAAGAGTCACGTTAAGGACATTTGTTTCATATTTATCTAATGTAACTCTAATAGTGAGTTACTAGTGTCATAATTACTCTAAATAAAATCTCTCGAAATTTGGTAACTTGAAGAGATACATAGCCAAATCAATTAACCAAGAGAGAGAGAGAGAGAGAGAGAGAGAGAGAGAGAGAGAGAAATTGAAGATTAAACACAAGCCCATGTAAATACTTCTACCACTCCAAATGTCCCATATAACATTATTAACTCAAATATGGAGAGCAGAATTCATCAAGTAACTTGAAGAGATACATAGCCAAATCAATTAACAGAGAGAGAGAGAGAGAGTACTCTTTAGTCTGTGGAGATCCACCAACAACCCATGTGTTTACAGGAATGGAGGCATGAACTGAATTGAAAAGAAATCAACATCAGCTCAAAAGAAATTATTTCTAAAGATTTGGCATAAAATAAAAACACAAAATACACAATGACTGATGTAACCTTTGGGGTTGATGAATTGGATCACTACATCTTCCTCGAAAATATTGACCTCTTCAATTGCTGGTATGGCATTCACTTCTCTCCTCTTCAAGGTATTTTGAAGTCTTTTATCATCTGTAGTCGTGGTCTTGTGAATTGCCTTCTTCTTTCTGTAATAGAGAATGTATGACATATATATCATATCAGTAATTTAAAGTTAACCGAACTCCGAAACGGCCTATGTACACAAAAAGTTTAACTTCTAGACCTACAATAGAAACATTTCTTTTTGTGACAATACTTGCTACGATGTCATTGCCCTCAAACAACCCAAAAAGCTTTCAAAGGCAAAGAAGCTGGTCCAACTAATATAACAGAATATTGCTAGAATCAACCAAACGACAAATGACAGACCTTCCATATTTATTGACAAACATCCAACCCTGCTTATACTCATTCATCTTTCCCAGCACATTACCATATCGCTACGCCTCTATCCATTTAAATGCACAATTTTTCCTAGTTCGGTAAAGTGTGTACGAAGGCAGAGAAAACTTTAACAATGCATCAGAAAGAAATAAACATTCTCATGCTACCCTTCCCACGGGTGCGCATATGTTCTTGGAAATTTTTTATGCTTCCGTTATGATTTGAAAATGAATACTGATAATGGTAAAACAAAATTTGAGGTTAAACTATTTGTAGTCCTTCTTTTAATTAAAAAAAGAAAAGAAACAATCTAAATGACACAAGAAGCCACAAGTTTGACTAAATTTTGTTCAAAAACTATAATAGAAAAATATAAAAATAAATTAGAAGAGACTTTTGTATTTTTTTATTTTGGATTACTTTGAGTAAAAAGTGATAATGGTATTTCAATTCCATTGCTTGGATGTTACAAGTCCAGTGAAGATTACCACTTCCAATATACTGCATGCATAATGTGGTAAATTGGTCCTAAGGCGTGAATGATGAACCAAAATGGATAGTCGAATTCAGCTTGACTAGTAAGATCACAATTTCAAACTCACTAAAATAACTAGATAGATAAACTTGATGAAAAACATAAAAATCATGTGAGTGCAAGTAATTATAATACAAAATCGATAAAAAAAAGGTTGTATTTTTGCTACTATGTAGTTTTTGTAGGATTATAGTGTATTTTGACCATCAGACAGCGCTAATTATTTTCTTCAGCATCCAATTAACTTTCAGGCAAGCCTTCTATAGAATAGCTCCGTCTTTTGCTGCAGCCTTTGTTAAAGTTATTAGTAGCCATTGATCACTGATGGCCTTCACAACCGCCACAGAACAATAAATGTTCATTCAGTTCTTACACTGAAAGTGAACGGGCAAACATTTTGTGAAATCCAAATTTCATTTATTTATCAGATGGTTAGCCATATGATTTGTACATTAAGAGGTGGTTCTGTTTGGTGGTTGGATTGCCACACCTTACATGTCAAAATACAGAGAAAAATTGAAATCTGTTAGGTGATGTGGGATTTATGCTTGTTGTTCTACATATTTCTGTGATTAATGGTTTTTGGTTGTCTGGTTAGGACTTTCACCAAGGTGGTGAACGCAGTTCGGTTAAAATTAAAATGTGTAGAAATATATTGGTGCGAAATCTTGCCACCCTTTTTATGTTATTCGCACATTGTAACCCACCAAAAAGAATCCAACTCACATGTCAACGTTTCTCTAAATCATGACTAAATTTTCAGTATGTTGAAGTCTGTTAAAAAGAATAGAACTAATTGATGCAGAAATTTCCTTTTAAGAACTAGATTTTAATTGTTGTGTGTTAATGCGCAAATTAGGCAGTTTATTTGTTAATATTTTCCCCTTTTATTTTGACCAAATGTTGTGATAATTTGCTAGATTCTACTTATAATTGAATTTTTGTGTGATTTCTAGGAACTTCAAGTTAATTGAGGCAGAAAAGGAGAAATCGAAGCCTAATTGAGGAAATTCCATTAAGAAAATCTTGATACAAGTTTCTTAGTTGATACTAGAAAGCACGCATCCCATTTGATAGGGAATGAAGCAGAAAACTACAAAAAAGGAGGGACTTTATGGAGAATATGGAGACTTCTAAGGGTTTCAAACCTTGGGCCCTTGAATTGGTGGGGAACCACAAAGCTAGTGAAAGATATTTGGTCATTTGGGCTCTTCAAAGAAAGCAACGTAGAGAGACTTGGAAGAAGAAGTAATTTTGGAGACTTTATCCACATGTGTGGGGACCACCGGAGATAGCTTTTAGTCATCTTACTTTTGGCTTTTTAAGGAGAGGACGTACAGAAGCAAAAGGAGACCTCTAGTTTAGCTTTTTAGTTTAGTTCTAGTTTCCTTTCTCTGGACTGGCCTCTGACACACGCCAGGTGTTCGACAATATTCCCCAACGGGAAAAACATCTTTTATTCCTTGCTTTCTAGTAAAAACGCAATGCCTTTGCAATCCATTACTTCGTGTGGTGATTTAATCATGAGGCGTGGCTAAGTTTATCTAGTCAGAGGTTAAATCGAAGCTTTGGTTCGACAAAACTGTGAGATCGAAATTATTTGCCTACGTTCTTTAATTTGCAAGTATTTATATATTTCCTGTTCACTTATGCATATGATTATTTCTTGCAATTAAATACTTGATCACTGTTTAATTGTGTGAGTAATTAACAGCCATCTAAGAATGCTCAATCCGTAATTGTTGGGTAATTTTAGTGCATGTGGCAAGTGACATGATTCAATTGTAGTAGAAACTTTTGAGTTGTTGTTGTGGAAATATATGATATAGCCTAAATAAACCGAGCATGTGTGTTTGTTGGTTATAATTGGTGGCCAGTCTAATGATTAATGCTGTCAATAGGTTAAATCCTAAGAGCGTGTTTAGGACTGCTTAATTGGCTAGGGCAATAACTACAGAGCTTGTTGTGGTTATCGAATCAGGAAGGTTAGGCAGGTTGTCAGAGTTTGTTGACAACCATAACCAGTTTATTTGTAAATGAAAGATTTTATCTCTGCATCTGTGATCAGTGATTCGAACCATTAGTGGAGATTATACCTTTGACTAGAGATTTTCCTTCCGTTAATTTACTTTATATTTATTGTTATTTATTTTATCTGCGATTGTCTTATTTTTAATTTGAGCAATTAAATTAGACAGTTCCATATCAATTCCCCCCATTTTTATTTAATGTTACATTCATTCAAAATAAATTCCCAAGTCCCTGTGGATTCGACCCTGCTCACTGCTATATTCGAATTTTGTCTTTCACGTAATTAATATACTTTGGTATATCGGATCAAGCAAACTCTGGCACCAGGGTGAAGCTAGTAACCCATTGCACAGCCTAAGTCCCTGCTCCAGTACCATAGTGGACTTAATTCGTGACTTAAGAGTAGGAATTTTATTTTTGCTGGTTTGACACCCACCATTGTGAGAAGAAGGTCTGAATTGGCACTTTTTCTTATCAGGTATTGAACTAATACATCACATTCAAAGTTTAGAAGGCTGCCAGAGACTTAACAAGCATTAACGAAGTTCATGCCCATCACAACCATTTCTTTGTTTTGGAAGTAGAATCTATTTAAAGTAAGGTGAATATCCTTTTCAAACTTTCTTATGCAAAATCTTATGTGTCACATTCATTGCCTTCACAATAATTTCCCTTATTCAGTTTTATGGCTTTGTAGAGGGTGCTATAGCTATCTGTTCGTTACCCACTTGACACAATAAAAACTAGACTTCAAGCAAGTTGGTTGTGAAAAGTTGATATTTTTGACCACCCATTGCTGTTTTCTCAATTTTTCTTTACTTTACTATGAGCTCTACACTGAAGGTACATTAGCAGACGTAACTTAAGGATTTGACAGATATAATTCATACAAGAGGTCCATGGGATCAGATGCTAGATGCTCACATGTCTTTTGGGGATTCCAACTAGTGCAGGCTAAGAGAGTGTCCGAGTAGCTTTTCATGGTTTCATGTTAGGCAGTTCCTGGTGAGGAAAGATTAAATTGAGGGGCTCTTACTTGTGATTGGCTGGGATGTTGGTGTCTTTCTGTAAGCTTTTATAACTGGAAATGCTGGATGATGTTGTTGTTTCAGCCGGTCTGAACTACTTGCAAAATAGCATGCCCAGCAGTTGATTGCTGCATAATACATGTAATCTGGCTAAGTAGGTTGCAACTTGTTTATTTTGAAATTTCTTCCAGATTTCAATTTCTTCAAGCACTGAAAATGGCTTGTCCATTTGTTAATTCTCTCATTAGATTGCAACTTTTCTGTTGGATTGCCAAGATGCATTTCCCTAATGAAATTGTAAAAGACTGCATACTTTGCGGGCTATAGATAAATTAATAGCTAAATGGTAGTTATAAGCATGATTTTGTTATCTTTTGCTATTTTCTGTGAGAAAATGATGGAGCATCATTTTTTTCTTTTGTTGAGATAGTATCAAGACTAGTTCCACTTGGAGAGGAAAAAAAAAGCCAAATCTTTGGCAGGAGGTGAACGTGATGTTTTCAGTGCTAGGTCTTCAAGTTGGACTTGAAACTAATACAATGACGATATGTTCTAATAAATCAAACTGGTGTCTTCATTGAGTGGAAGGATCTGCTGCTTCGGGGAAGAAGATAATTATCGCCTTATTCGTAGCCAAAGTGGGCCAAAATCACTTAAGGTAATTTGGTTACTAGTAATGCTTATAGTTGGATTATTAGTTTCTCTGCGTGTCTTGCATCTTATTCCTGGTTGCTGCTTTAGTATTACTTGAATAGAAAGAAATAAAGTCAAAGCAAAACTGAAGTAAGAATAAAAAAGAAAAAGTGAATTTTGCTAGAACTCTATGTAGGAATTTGTGAGATAAGTCCTCACTTTCTAGCTAGGTAACTGGATCTAGGAAAGTCTAAATAGACTTGCTTACAATGTGGTTACTTTCTTGTGTTTAAATGTTATTTAACTCTATCTCGTAGTTATCAATTTTTGCTGATTAATTAAATAAAAATAGCAGAATATTCGGATAGTAGTTGAACATAATCTACCTCCTAGTTGAAAACAGAGCATGTTGCAGAATCTCGACCTAATTTTGGTTTTGGAAACAGAGCAAGTTGTAGAATCGCGACCTAATTTTGTAGCTCACCTCAATGCCTAGAAAACTGTGTGAAAACAGAACATTATCTACCTCGTAGTTGCACTTGGGGGTTTGTGGTAGTTTTATTTGATTTCGGTTGTTGATTGTCGATGGCTCATGGCTCAAGGTTAAATTGGACCACAACTATTGAAATGGGGAGTAATTTGTTCTCATTTTGCTTTATTTTCTTTCCCAACACATTGAGAATAATATGTATGTTAAACGTGGGGGGAGAAAAGTCTTAAATAGAAGTTAATTTTGTGTTTGAATGTTTGGACATGTTATTGGGAAATTACCTATATGGTGAATTGTTGATATTTGAGTTTGCTGGCCGGGAGTTTTTCTCCAGTTTTAAGGGGAAACTCTGTCAAAAATTTTTCAAAATTTTATCCAAATTTCCACATTTCCCCCCCAAATTTCCACTTTTGCCACCAAATTTTTCATATCTACTTCACTTAAGTCCACAGGTGCATGAAGTTTACGT